GTGACTCATAAAAGTCGTTGAAATTACTTGGCCATTTCTGGTACCTGCCATACAACTTCAAAAGTTATTTGACTATATCTCAGAAACTATAAAAGCTGTGATATTGAGATTTCACACAAGTGACAATGTTAGTAGGGCCGATGGGCTTGATAAAATTCGCTAAAATTTCTTGGCTCTTTCTGGTAGCTGCCATACAACATCAATAGTAGTTTGGCACAACCAGTATTTTGAATAACTCATAGTACTGAAATTTTGCATAAATTAATATGGTAATACGGCAACTTAAAGTCATACTCTGTCCCATAGTTAGTTATGGCACATTAGTTATTCGCACATAGGATAACAAATTCGTACGGGTATCACAGAGTTGACAAGGTCAACTCTATTTTTTTTCTCGTTTTTTTTTAATAATAAAAAGTAACTGGTTTGCCTGTATAAAATTTAACGTGTAAAATTTTTAATATATTCATATATATAATTGTAATTGAGTGGGTAACTATAGTTTTAGTTTTTTTGATTTTTTGTTGTTATTGACTTATTTTAAACACTTATTTTATTATTTTACTTTAAATTTTTTTGAGGCAATTGGATTACGTTTACGAAAAATGAGAAAACCACTTATGGACTTCAAAATTTAATGGAAAATCGTAGCGTTGGAAATTTAATTGGAATTTTATTAATCATGTAAAGAGCAAAAATGTTAAGGAAAGTAATGACAAGTTCGCAATATGAAATATTTTTATATTGTATTAGGACAACAAACCCAAAGATATTGCAAAAATGTTTATGAAAATCCTGTTGTACAAAGTAATATTGTCAGAAGATCTTGCAAAATTCATATCAATAACAAGGTTTCAATGTAATAGAGTATTTACTCGAGTATTTGAATGAGTTTACCAAAAGAATTCATTCCAGAAATAAATTAACTAAAAATTATACTTCAAAGAGAATGGAGCCAAATCATTACGTATTTACTGTTTAAAATTATGTTTATACACAAATTATTTAATTATAATTGAGTAAATATTCTGTGAGCCATTGCATGCTCAACTTTAAATTATTTTTAAGTGTTCTGTAAAATTTTTATTATTTTTAATTTTAATTTTTCCAAAATTTACTTAGATCAATCACCGGTTAAGAACATATTAACATAATGCATATATTACAAGTACGCTATTAAATAAAAATTAAGGATAAAACACAAAAAAATATTCATAAAATAAATATAGACTAAAATTACAAATAAAATGTTATCAACCCAAATTTTTCATCTGAAAATTTTTGTTAAATTGATAGCATTACGTTTTAATTTTATTTTTTAAATTACAATGAAAAATTTTTGTGTTTTTGTTAAATAACCTGATTTTATATCGGTCGAAGAGCTTGATTTTGTGGTTTCTTGTACGTAGACATATAAGTAGATTAACCGTACAATGATATATTTTGTATTTATTATGATCGTAAATAATGTTGAATTAAGATTTTATATTATTGCATTTACAATCATATCAAATATCTTAAACGATTTACCTTAGTACATTTATATAAATATGCACAAAATAATTAAAGTAAGAATTCTTTATACGCATTGCATATAAAAATTTTTTTTTAATTCTTGAGTAAAGTCTAAACAAAAATGAAAATAATAAATAACCTGATATTCATGAGAAAATTTTTAGTCAATAAATCCATTTAATTGTCATATACATAATCCATGACTTGAATTTCAGTAATTTTCCCTAAATTACCACATTTAGTAATAATTTTAAATAAAAATTTGGTTTATTGTTTTACATACTTAAGTAGGTATTTAATACTTTAATGATAATTCAATTTAAATTGGACAATTAATTTGTAAATACATATGTAATATAAATGAGAAAGAACATATTTTAAAAAATGTTTTGATACAACCGTAAAATAAAATACATCTAAGCTGTATTTGCGGCTATCACTGTTTTTATCATCGGTGAAAGATAGTTTTTGTGTTTCAATTACTTTTCTTTTCATTCACTTTATTGTGACGACAATAACAGGGTCTTATAAATTAAAAATGAATGTTTTTGCTTGATTTCGAAAAACGTTTTCTATTTTATTTTTCGTTTAAATTCGCTTTTTTAATGAATTATGGTCTATGATACGTTAAAGACGGACGTCATTTATTATTGTATTTATAAATTTTATTGATAATTTTCCTTTCATTGTATGTATTATAAATTATTAAATTTTTTACTTAGTTTTTTTTATTTCATCTTAAATATAAAAATGTTTTTAAACACAAAATCTTAATTCAAACTGATAAGAGAAAATATAAATTTGTTATCAATTGAAAATTTCGCACAAATTTTAGTATATTGATGTTTTTAAATTTTAATTACCTACAATTTATTATTAAAGATTTTTTTTTTATTTAAAGGCAATTTATAACAAAAAATATAGTGCTATCGGTATGCGATCACGTTAATAAACATTATTATTATGAATAGCGCACGTTGCGTTTAAATCTCGTTGCACTGTGTAGAAACAATGCTGAATATATTGTTTATTATTGTTAGAAGAATCCATAAAATTTATTAGAATTAGAGTAGATGTAGATAACCCGATCAAAAACTTTGTATATTTAAAAAAGTACAGTTAAATGAGCAAAATTATTTAGTTCTTAATATAGAATTGTTTATAAAACGTGTAATAAATTTTAAAAATTGCAATAGATAACAGTTTTACAATATAGAAAGTTTTTGCATTCTGTTGCTTAGAATAAACAATTTTTTTTTATAATTATGTAAGAAGCAATTTTAATTACTTTACTATTAAATATTTTAAATATAAAATATCTTTAATATAATTATATTAATTAAACGAAGATAATAATAAGTATTAAATTATAAGATTATATCAGAGAAAATCAATTAATTGTCCTAAAATAATCAATAATTGATCACTTATGGAATCAATTAATATAAATATATGCATACAAATTAAATATTATGCAAGTCTTTTAACAATACAAAGCTATAATTTAATAGTTTTTTATTTATTAGTTATTAAAAACGGGGATAAATTATTGTTTTTGAATAATTTTAGCAGTCACCTTAAAACTTTGTTCAATAATCTATTTTATCTTGTAGTATGTTTTGTAATATTATAAAACTTTAGAATTATGTAATTAATCCGGTCACAATATCTTGTAATTTTTTTTATTATGATATCCGGTCTAATATATCTTACAAGTTCTATTTTAGAATGTTAAATTTATGATTCATTAGAATAGGGAAAGGAATTAGCTATGAAGTAATGGAATGATAAAATATTGAAATTGAACTTAGAAATATTTTGTATTAAATATTTAAAATTAAAACTGATATTAAATTTTAAATTATTTAAAATATGGGCTATTTTAAGTATGTACATCCTTTGCAGAAAAAAATATCTAAATCGTAATAAAAATTATTTTTTAATAATATAAGACTTATTTGGGGGGCAATTTAAATTAATATGCAATTAATTTCAAATTTCATTTTTGCAGAGTCATTTAAGTATAGTTCCAATAATAAAGCGCGCCAAACATTTATAACTGTTAATAGTTTGCATCGTTAAATTAATTAAAGCAAATAAAGTATGCTTAAAAATTTCAGATTAAAATTTAAAATAGAAAATCTTTTAAATTATTTTAATCACGATTTTATTTTTTTTTTAAATAAAAATAGTCTAAATTATTTCCTATTTACTCATCTTTTTCTTTTTTCATTTTTAAAATATTATAGAAGAACTGTTAGTCTTCATATGCGATTAATAATACAAGTTCAATGTTAAATTATAAATTTATTAATTTACTATATACTTAATTAATTCCTGATTACTCGGTTTTTGTCATTTAAATCAAATTTTTAATATTTTAAAATAAACTTGTTATGATTTTTATATATTGTTAGTGGTACTAAAATACGCATGTAAATGTAAAATATTTTTTAATTATATTATTTAATATAGAATTATTACTTTTATTTATTGTACATATTTGCATTATTCAATCAATTTAATAAATTGTTTTTAATTATACTACTGAAAATTATAAGTTAGTATAAAGTATTTTGCATTAAATTATAATACTTTGTAATGTATTACGGAATATTTGCCGGTATAATTGAAATATTCATATTTTATGATTCATTGTTTTCTTAATGATAATTTTAATTACTTATCATAATCTTTATCAATCTTCATCTTGTATTTGTAAACCTAAATTAAGACTTTTTATACATTATGTGTATAAAACTTTTAATGGATTTTTGTTACATTTTTGTAATTGTTGTTGAAAATTATATGAGAATGTACTCTTATTCATTTAGTTAACATATTTTGTTAATGAAAAATAGATTTACTTTTAATATCTTGTCACTAATATTTAAATCCTATAAAACCCTAACAGTTTGTTTGAACCAGAAAATAAGAAGCCTTCACTATCTTAGAATAATTTTAAGTCAGAGTTCTCTTCTTTAGGGAGAATTGTTACATTTTCGGATTATCGAAATGTAACAATTCGAATATAACAAATATAACAATTATAATATATTAAACTTGGTCTCGGCTTAATAAGTATTGTGTTGTTTGTGTGATGCAACTCTACATGTATATGTTATTATGTCGTACATTGTATTGTGTCGTAGCATGTCGTTATAATTAGATTTATGGTATCGGATATTAACTTTTACTATTTCAAGTATGAGTCACACTAAAGACTTGATTTGGTTTTTTTTTCCTAATGTTTAGAAATTTTGATAATGCGGTATTATTGAATTGTTATGCAAAATATTTAGTCATAAAATTGAACAATACTATTTTTGGAAAAACCAAATCAACTTTTAATAAAAATAGAGCGAAATTCTTTAATAGCCAAATTTTGTAATTTTTTAAGTAAATCACAGAATACAAATTAAATTATGTTTAATTTAAGTAAAAGAAATATATTAATTATAGTATATTAATAATTAAAAACTTACAATTCATTTTCCATATCCTAAATTGATGATATAAAAAGCATGAACATATACAAAATATCATTGATATTATAATTAATGTTAATACAATTCCAATCCATATTTCATTCATAAATTTATCATATTCAATTTGACGTTGCCATGCTTCATCAGAAAATGTTGATGCATTTAATACTACTGAATTTGCTAAATAATCATTTGGTAAAATTATATTATTACTACCATATGTTGATGTTATTGGATAAATATTACTATTATTACTAATATTATTAATATTATTTAAATTGTTATTATTATTTTGATTCATAATTGAAGCTGATAGTAAACTTTTATTAATTAATGTATCTGTTATACTATTATATGACTGTTGTTGTTGTTGTTGATGTTGTTGATGTTGTTGCATTGGACTACTAAATACACTACTACGTCCCGTAAATAATGTTCCACTTGCTAGTTTTTTTAAAAAATTATTTGTTGAAAAAAAACTTGTATCAACATTTGAATTAATATTATTTGTTGATGATGGTGTATTTGTATTATCAAATTGAGGTGGTTGTTCTATTAAACTTGGATAATAATTATTATGATGAACTGAATGTGTGAATTCTAACGCGTTAAAATTCATTTTATTTTATTTAATTTGAAAAATAGAAAAAATATTTTCTCTTTAAATATTTATTTAGTTTATATTTTAGAATAATTGTTAATTATTAAATTTTTCAATTGTTTTTTTTTTTTCTAGGTTTATTTTCCACTTTAATTGTTTGAAAATAACAAAAATTCTGAAAAATTAAAATTATTCGAACAATAATTTTTAATTTATCAATAAATGTATGTAATGTATGTATTTTATAAATTTATGTAACTCTCGAAATTTTCCACACTTAATTTATAAAAACAGCAAAAAAACCGCTTTCACTTTGTCCAAAATTCAAAAATTAAAAAAAAATAACAAAAACAAAAATCAAAACAATTATTACAAACGCATTAAAAGTAGTTTTCTCTTTTCTTCTTTTCCATTTAATTTCATATAACAGTAAAATCAAGTTACAAAAATATGCAGTAATTTATAACTGTTAAATATATATGCAATATAATAATAGAAACCGTTATTACAACACTTTCATTATTGAAATTTTCGTAACAATTTTCATTAATTTCTTTTTCTCTTTATTTAAAAAAAAAATAATTAAAAATTTTTATGTACCGTTAGACAAAAATGCAATTTTTTTTTATTTATCTTAGGATTTTCACTTTTTTTTTTATCTAATTAATTTTTCAGACGTGCAAAAAAAAACTCATCCTAATTAACTTAACGTTCACTAGAGACTAAACATAAAAAAAAAAAATCAATCTTATTATTGAAAAAAAAACTGCTTGTATTTTAAAAAAAAACCTCACTTAAGTTGAACATGTTACGCTGAATTAAAAAGAAAAGGAAAGAAAGAAAATAGAATTATAAAATAATGTAATTATAAAGGCAATGTATATGAAAGAAAGAATGAGAAAGAAATATAAACAAGAGTTTCTTAAACTTTAAAATAATTAAAATAAAAAAGAAAACAGAGAGAAAAGCAGTAAAAATAGAGAGAAATAAAAAGAAAGAGATTCTTTGTGCAATGCAATGAAATGGAAATGAAACAAAATTTTGTAAATATTGAAAAATTTGTAGTATTGAAGTTGGTTGCATTATAGTCGAGGTATAGTAATTGGCACATTTAATTTCTTCAGTATTTTTTACGGTCGTATTAAGTGAAAATATAAATGTGTTATAATGTATCCTATCGATAGATAAGAAAAATGTATATAAGCAGTGATCTAAAATTTTGATCACGAATCTCGAATGAATATTTACGAATCTCCAATGAAAATTAATCAATCAATTGAATTTTAAAATTTATAGGACCTCGTCCCCACGTTAGAATGTCGTCATTTCCAAATTTATTTAGAAGAAGCGAGTGTGCAATTTTATTTTGCAATATTTTTCAATACATTAAATTGATAATGGGCTCACAGTAATAGCATTCCCATTTTAAGATATTAAGAAAACATTCAAATGAAGTTTAACAAAAAAAAAAAAAGAAAATTTAATTTATAAGGAAGCACAATTCTCTAATTGCAAAATCATTCAAAATTCGCTTTCATGAATCAATATTTATTTTAAACGGTATTTCTAAAAATATCGCTTGCATTTAGTGCCGAAGGATTTGTCACAAATGCTATTTACCTAATATCATACGAAAACTATACTGATTAACATAAGTCTCTTGAACTACAAACTTTCATTTTTGATTTATTTTGTAACCGATATCTTACATATTGAATGTGAGGTATAATACAAAAGAATTACGGGTACAGAAGAAAATATAATTAAAAAATTGCCAGATAATAATATGTACAATTGTTGTGCATATTATGAAGAGTGTGTTATAAAAATAAACTAGTTCTACACACATGAATCCCAGGCCTAAATGTAATTTACTTTTTCTTTGCCTTTGCCGGTAGTTGAATGACTTTTATAACTGCTGAATATGGTTTGAATTTTATATTTGAGAAGACTTATAAGAAAATATAAGTACATTTACTTATTTCGGTCGTATCATAAATGTAATTAAATAAAATGTATGTATGAGTGTATGCGTCTACTTTTATTTATTTACCTTCTACTAAATATTTTGGATTAGAAACTTAATAAAGTATTTAGTAATGTATAAGAGTAGCCTACAGAACATTTGTAATGTAAGAAGACAAAAAATGATCTCATTTAATATTTTTTCTCATTTGTCGTGGAAAATTTTTCAAATTATGTAGAACGAAATGTATGTATATTATGTACTCACAAAATTCAGTTAAGTAATTAATTTGAAGCAACCTTCAGTTGTATAACGTGAACATGTAAAAAATTTTGTTTGCCTACTTATTGTAAAATGTTTAAATTTAAATTGTCATTTGCATAGCCTTAAATGACAAAATTAAAATATATAGTCTGAAGTGTATTACATTCTATGTTTTAACAACAGCTTTTGATATTTTCACTACACTCCTAATCGCTTGTGTAGTTTTTTGTCTAAGTGCTCAAACTGTCATTATAAGTTAGTACGTATTTGATAATTTGTTAATTCATAAGATTCCGGGAGCTCCAATACATCTATAATAATGATTGTGCTTGGTCTGCCAATTCTGTTCTAATATCCATTAAAAAATTTGTATGCTCCGTGGCGGTAAAGCTCTAAATGAAGATTAGTTCTATGTGACAACCTTGGGTATACAACCATTTTGTCGTGCAAAGACAATTTGGGGAAGCTCCGAAGCTTCTTAGCACGCCACAACATTGTAAAAGAATCCGTCCCGATTACACAAGATACTTTGTATCTTATTCAATAATTTTAGTTAATTTGTATCAATATTTTATCTTTTACATCTTAATAGCATCTTAAATAATGTCTTAATTACATCTTAAATAACATTTTAATTATGACATTTAAAAACTATACAAATAACTTATAGGAATTACTTATTACGTTCAAGAGATTTCCTGCCTTAACAATTAAAATATTAATCTCCATAGTACATTGAAAACATGCTTTCAAATTATTAATAATTGACGAATCTGAATTAATAAATAAATTATTTATTGCATATTCTTGTTAATATTAAAATACTGTTGTAATACTTGCTACCACACTTAGCAGCGCCACTTTCTTATCGCATAATCCATGAATTAAGAAAGGTGTGGTAATTACAATAAAACTTAGCAAAAACAACCGGCATTTATTTTTTTACTAAACATCAAGTGCAAATACAGTAATCTCTCGCTTAAGATAATTTTTGGAAGTGAAAATTTGCGACTTTATACAAGAAAAATTATCTCTCCAATTTTGTGTTATTTATATAAAAAAAAATTACTTAGCAAGGTTTAAATGACTTTTAAAAATTAAAGGTTTTAGGGTAATCGAATTATTCCATATCGAAGTGACCATAAATTGAGAGGGATTACTGTATTATTGATATTAATAGCAAGTGTGAGATCTTTAAGTTAATAATATTTCGTTTAAATTAATTCAATATGAATAAAATGAGTTTTTTTAAAATGAAAAATTAATGATCTACATTTTATATTTGTTTATATATAATATATATATATATGTATAGTTTTTATATTATCGTATTTTAAAAAACTGTTATTTAGTTTTTATTGTGTTGTAATAAGTTTCGCGCCAAAAACTTACGAATCTTATTAGTTAGTTGTTTGCTTGATTTTGTCAGTGCAACCGGCCAATCATACTATAATTTAATCGCTGTTTTATTTCCGCCATCCGCTAACACCTGCAATCATTATTAATTTTCCAATTACAGCTTACATATTTAGGTCAGGTGATCATTTACGATTAAATTAAAAATTAAATTAAAAGTAATTTTAAATTAAGAGCATTTAAATCGATCACGAATTAAATAATGAATATGTATTAAATTTTAAAAACACTAAAATTTAATACAACTTTTCTAAGAATCATGTAGAATTTGAACGAGTTGTAAGGAGGTACAAGCTAATTAATCACGATATTAAGTAGATTACTATTCAGAAACGATATAACGAGTCGGGTTTATGAATATAATTTATAGAAATAACAAAGACAACAAAAAAAAATATTTATATATTATAAGGTGTTTATGAAACCCCATTAAGGGTCTCACGAAAATATGCATTATGTCATTCTCAATTCGAATTCATATAAAAGTTCTAATATTTTAGCTGATTTAGCGGCGTTTAATTGCAAAATGAACTTGATTTCTGTTTCTATTTTTTTTATTTTAATTTTATTGTTGACGGTCAATGTAAATTCTCAAGAAAGAAGAGATTGGAAATAAAAACTGTTAAAAAAAATTTCACTAAAATTTCCGTATTGCTGCTGTTTTGCTAAATTAATAGCGGGAAGAGATTTTGCTAATCATCATTTTTTTCTTTTTTTTTTTTAATTGATTTTTCGTTTGATTTTTCTTGAGTTTCAACAATCAAGTTTGCCTGGTATGTAAGATATAAGTTTTTTCTTTATTTGGACTTTCATTAACAAATAACTTGCATAATAATTAATAAAGTGTGTATTACGTAGATAAATAAATTCGAGAAAAAAAGTATTTTTAAGCTACTCATATTTTTGAATTTTAATGAAATTCAAATAAAAATAATAAAGGTGTGTTTCAAGTGCACATAATTTTAATATTAAACATTTATGCTTGAAAAGTTTGTATAAGGGTATGACATATTAATATACAAAAGCTTTTCATATCAGTAGAAGCATAGTTTTACACTATGAACTTGTTCAATAATTGAATAAGTTATTAAATATTGGATTTATAAAATTGAAAACACAGATATTATTTGAGAGAAACTTTCAATTAATGACGTTTTATTTTTATTATCATAAAAAGTAATAAAATTTATATTTGAAAGCTGTCCGGCAGTATATATGGAAATTTATGTTAATGTATTAGTTATGTTATGATATTGTATATAAATCATATGTTAAAATAATCGATAATTTTATAAAAATAGAAGAAAATTTATGTAAAAGTAATAATTAATTCCGTATGCTTATTTCCTCTTTTTTATATTAATCAAATGAATAAATCAAGAAAATAATGACGTAAGATATAGCGGGTTTATTATAGAAAGTGACATACGTAATGTAAACAAATACATATTATTATGTGCGTTGTCAAACTGCCATTAATGTTAAAAATAAATATAGTGATTATGTATGTACATATATTGTATAAAAACTTAATTAAAAACTAAAACTTTGTTTATTGCATAATGACACAACTATTGTAAAAGTTAAAAAACTAAAGAAAAAAGAATTATAAAATGAAATAATATTTTTTTTTTATTTGTAGATTCATGTGAATACAACTTAGAAATACGGGGCTGACGTATAGAGGAAGCCTAAATGATTTGTGCTTCAGAAATGAACTTTTATACATAAATGAAATTAGATGACTTGTATTTCGGTTATCTGAATAGGGGAGTACCTCCCAGGAGACAATTCAATATGAACTGAAAAATTTTTAAAGAAGTATATTATGGCGGTACACTTACCTTCATTTGGATTTCTAGATGAAGCGTTTAATTAAAATGCTTTTAAAAAGAAAGTGTTGCTGGATTGTGCAAGTGGATGTCATGAAGTTTTGTTATAGCAGCAGTAAAGGCGTATTATGGTCAACCCTAATATACCTACTTAATAAAAGTCAATATCGAAAGAGGGTTACTTGAATGTTGTGCAAACGCATTGAAAACTGATGAGGAATT